GGGTAGTAGGCAAAGGGCACATGGTAGGAAGGGAAAGGTAGCTCATGGTTGGAGGAAAGGTAGCATCAAATTAGGAGGGAAAGATAGCATCGATGTAGAAGGGAAAGTGTAGCATCAAATCATGGGAGGAGGGATAGGTAGCATCATGGTAGGAGAGATAGTAGCATCATTGAGGAGGGAATTGCCCAGCATCATGGTATCGATGAAGGGTAGCATCATGGTTAAGAGGAAAAGTAGCATCAGGTAAGGAGGGAAACGGGTAGCATCATGTAAGGGGATTAAGGTAGCATCATGGTAGGAGGGAAAGGGTAATCATCAGTGGTAAGTAGGGAAAGATAGCATCATTGTAGGAGGGAAAGGTAGCATCATGGTATGAGGGAAAGGTAGCATCAAGGAAGGAGGGAAGGCTAACATCATGGTAGGAGGGAAAGGTAGCATCATGGTAGGAGGGAAAGGCAGCATCATGGTAGGAGGAAAAGGCAACATCATGGGAGGATTGAAGGGTATCATCATGGTAGGAGGGAAAGGTAGCATCATGGTATGAGGGAAAGGTAGCATCATGGAAGGAGGGAAGGCTAACATCATGGTAGGAGTGAAGGGTAGCATCATGGTAGGAGGGAAAAGTAGCATCATGGTAGGAGGGAAACGTAGCATCATGGTAGGAGGGAAAGCTAGCATCATGATGGAGAAAAGGTAGCATCATGGAAGAGGGAAAGGTAGCAATCATTGTTTGGAGGGAAAGGTAAGCATCATGGTCGGGAGGGAGGGTAAGCATCAAGGTAGGATGTAAAGTGTAGGCATCATGGTATGAGGAAAGGTTAGCATCATGGAAGGAGGAGAAGGGCTAACATCATGGTAGAGGGAAAGGGTAGCATTATGGTAGGAGGGAAAGGTAGCATCATTGTAGGAGTGAAAGGTAGCGGATCATGGTAGAGGGAAAGGCAGGGATCATGTAGGTAGGTGAAGGAAGGCAACATCATGGTTAGGAAGTGAATTGGCTGGCATCACATAATCTCTCCTGAGGACATCAGTAAAATTAAAGACATGGAGAAAGCCTGGCCTTTCCTTTAAACCCACCCAAATGTGTACTAGTTTCCTTTACCTAATGCGACAGATGACCAGAATATTAGTGCTGTTTAACCAGGAGCACGAGCATTTGATCCAGGCAACTAGCACTCTCCATGTGCTCCCTCTTTGGCCCAATGCCATTGATTTGATCCTACAAATAAAAACTCAAAACCAGGATGCTGGAAGGCAGGATGAAAGACAGTGATACACATGATGGGCCTTCTACCATACTCACCGGAAGCCTGACCATCCCAGATTTTACCTACATCCTCCTAGAATGCTCCACGCAGCATTCAGCAGTCCGGATAACTCAAGGAATAGACGCTTGTCCTCCTAAGAACCATGCTAGAGAGTGTATTGAATCTAACCCACAGAAAATTGACAGTGTTTTGCAAACCTCACTATCATCAGCCTTGGGGATGCTGGGAGTACGGAAATCCTCCCAGATTGCTCTAAACCAATCTTTCCCTGTCCTCTTCTCATAGCATCAACGAGTTAATAAAACAAATCTTCCGGACAAACCTCAGTGACTCAGCAGAATACAAGACCCCTAGCTCATGCAGTGCCATCACTGAATGGGAGACTCTTGCCTGCTCCAGGCACCAAACCTAGTGCATCACTGTCCTACAACAGTCAAGTTGGAATTGCCCCATCACTGAAAATGTAAAACTTGCCAACATGCATAGAGCTGGTAACATCATGACAGGGAACTGCTGCACACCAAGCTGTGATGCGCCAATCACTGCCAGAGACTTTTCCTTCGAAACAAGTTTCCCATTTTGGCAATGTGAACAGCGCCTCGACCCTAAGACCCTCTGTTTGCAGTGGCTCAGCGTTCTAGCAGCCCAAATTCACATGCATTTGTGGCGATGCGCAAGCCGACCATATAGACTACATGGTCTTAACTGTTTCAAACAGTTCCCAGAACCATGTGGCTCTCATGCAAGACACAAATGATGTCAACGACATCATAAAGAGAACCCATTCCTGCAGCTGGATGCCCTTCCGAGAGAGAAACCCCGATCACTAGCAGCCAACAATACCCACTAACCCAGCAAACCACCCCGAAAGGGAATCAACATCAATCCTTGGACGAATGTGCAATCTCTAGGCAATGGACTATACCTGTGAATCGACGCCTGACACTTACTCCAATCATGTCGGGCGACAGGAGTGCTGCTGACCACAGGAGGAGTACAAGAACAGCAACTACAGGACATAAGCCAGCAGTAGATCAATTTTTCCCATGGGACAAGAAACCTTGAGATCTTTGGGGAAAAAATCAATACGTTTTTTTTATAGAACAGATTTCCAGACTCATCGACACCACCAGGGACCCAAGGGCACCACTTTCAAGTTCCAGCCCTCAGCGTGGCCATCAAGAGGGGAAAATGCTTGCTGCTATACTTGCCGGTTTGGGTTGGGTCGCGGTCCGGCGTCGGAGGCTGGAAAAAGTCATAACCTTTGATATATTATACCAATGTCTTCATAATTGTGTTTTCTGTCAATGTATTCTGTCTATTAAAAAAATTTCTTATAGAATATAAAATATCGGGGTGGTATAGAAGAAAATATTCAAACACCCCGTGGAGAACCTTGAGTTTTCCCTGAGGTACGTTTTGTCTTCTCTGACGATGAGGGTCGCCAGTAAAGTTTCTAAGGTGGTTCCTCCGTATATAATTATAAATATAATTATATATATATATAATATATATAAAAATAATATATATATATATATATTATATTTAAATATATATATATATATAGTATATAGTATAATATAAAATATAGATTATATAAAATGCCTGACTTCCAGTCATGTACAGCGTGGGGGAGATACTTTTTTTCCGCAATAAACTAAGTCTATCGCGGTCGAGCGTGCGCGCGTTACAAGTACCATATGAGATACTGGTGATCTAATCATATAATTTTTGGAAATTACTATTCCTTGACTTGTACTCGCGTAATATTTGTAATTAGGTCGCAAGAAATCTGAATCATTTTTTCGTGAATTAAATTGGCACTTATTTCATTGTTAATGTTCGAAAAAATCATTGTAACTCGGCATGGAATTCTGAAATTATCACTAAAAGACACTTCAGGGCAGGGTGTTGGAATTAAACTGCCCGTATTGTATGCGTCCATGTTTCCCAAACGATTGTTACATAACTGTCTCAGTTAATTTGATGTTAGATTCTCATAATAATTAGTATGAGGTTGACTATATCGTGAAACAGTGTCACACGTACCTCAGTGTAGGTACTGATATCTGTACTTCTCAGTGTATTAACACTGAGATATACACACTTCTCGGTTTATGTACTCTGAGATATACGCACTTCTCGGTGTATATACACTTACACTAAGATACACACTTCAGTGTATATACACTTACACTAAGATACACACTTCTCAGTGTATATACACTTACACTAAGATACACAATTCTCAGTGTATATACACTTACACTAAGATACACAAGGATCTCAGTGTATATACACATACACGAAGATACACAATTCTCTGTGTATAGTAACACTATACACTAAATACACAATTCTCAGATTTTATACACTTACACTAAGATAGCACAATTCTCCATGTAATATACACTTCACTAATGATAACGACCAATATCCTCAATGATATAACATCTTGCACTAAGAAACCAAATTCGTCGGTTCTCTACCAAAAATTCAAACATGCTGCAGTAAAGTTTTACTTCTTTAATACACAATAACCATCGTATTTATGTATTATTCAAGTACTAATTATCTGCATATCCTGAAATCTTGCAAAGGAATATATCGTACTGATAGACACTTGAATCCAAAGAAACAATCCCTTATTCCCCCATTACCAAAACAATAACATTCATGGTGCTTAGGATGTTTTGAACGTACGTTTGTCGCACGAATATACAAGACATGTGAGAGGTAAAATATGGAAATAATGTGGTAAAAGCAGAAAACAATTTGAAACTAGGTAAGAACATTACTGAAACGCTGTGTTAAAAGTTAATTATTGCGATAATTAGGCATGAGTAAGGACCGTGGAAGGGCTTTGAGAATTTATATCAGTCAAAACTTCTTAGACAAGATGTGTTTAACACATTATTTAACACATTTTGAATAGGGTTGTAAAATAAGTGTGGGACCTAGAAAACAATTTCATCGATATGAAGGGCTAGGATTTCAACAGCCTGATTAGGGTAATGGAAAGAAATTAAAAGAGAATTTAGAAAAGAGAAAAATGAGGAAGTAATAAAATTGAAGGGAGTAAAAAGACTTGACAACAGGATGGTCTGCAGTTCGACCATCATACTGAGCCAGTAATGTATAACGACCACTCGACTGACCGTTACCTGTAACCACTTTACCTATCCCTCTGGCTACCCACCCCCCCTGCCTACACTCATCTTCCCAGCTGAGCTCGCGCTAGCTTCGAGCGCTCTCTCTCGCTCTCGCTCTCTCTCGCGCGCCCTCGCTCCCACATCTACACGCTCCTACCCCATGGATAAAGTTTTTTGTCTCCACAGACTCCTCAGTGCACCACTGTTAATTAAAACATTCATTAGGAGTATTTTGTTGCCGTGTTCCGATGCTACCTAGAATTTAATAGAAGGGGATGACCGATTAAATTTAACAAAGATGTTGAAATCACCACGTTTCTGCCTCTGTGTATTAAAAAACATCACTAACGTATTTCTTGAATGTCTCGTGGTTTAATTTCCTGGATTAGATTTTCTCATTTGCAAGCGGGAAGTGCACTAGAAAAATGATGTTAGTGGTTAACGAGCTGCTTCATGCACGAGTCTCTCCACGCTCGAACGTACGTGATAGATCCTCGATAAGTTAGAACATGCGAATGTACGTGCGAAAAGGTATGTGAAAGTGCGTGTGTGAGAGTGTGTGAGAGTACGCTTGCCTTACCTTTGGACCAAGTAGTGGAGCTGATTGGATAGCCAGCCACTGGACACCTCACTGTGAATGTCTCCCCGGCCACTGCAGACATGGGACTCATAGACCGTACCAGAGGCCGTCCTGTGAAAAGTAATTATTTATATCGAACCTCTGATCTCCGTCATGTCAACACTGACTGATACCACCATACCACTTTAGGTGGCATTGGTAAATCATATAAAAAAAATTTTCCCAAGGAAAATAGCTAGAAAATGAATGCTCAATGGTACAAAAAATGAAACAATGTAAATGCATAGACAAAATATATATTAAAAATCTCATTTCAATATCACTACCTTGAAAAAGATGAAGAAAAAAGAAAACTACTAACAACCCATAGTATATAATTGAATTCTATATTCGCATCGGGTAGTTTATTCCATTTTGCTATAATCTGTAATAAAAATATTTACATGCATTAGTGTTGCATCTCTTGCCTCCATTATTTCGAGTTTCTAATTAAATTTGCCCTTCATATCATTCTTCGTACTTGAGTACCGAAACCATTTAATTTTTTATGGTTTGAATGAGATCTCCTCGTAGTCTCCGCTTCCTAGAAAACAGAGAAATGTTGAGTGTTTGAAGTCTTTCTTCAAAGGTTCTTTTCATAATGATGGCGTAAGTTTGGTCTTCTCTGTGTAGTCTCCAACGCGTCTTCGTCTTCATGAAATTTGGGGACCAGAATTGAACGGCCTAATTCGACTCACGGAATCGTAATGACACGATTGCAAACAAACCATACCACGGGTAGGGTTAGAACCAGCGACAGTTTGGAGTTTTATGACTCTCTGATCGCGGGTTCTAACCCTACCCGTGGTATGGTCTAAATGGTGTATTTAAAAGCTGGTCTAATCAGTGCATCATATAGAGTCAGCTTGATCTCTGGTGTTTTTTGCTTGAAATTACCAGCTGTAAAACCTGGAATTCTGACAGCCTGGCAGATAAGCAATGATTTTTACTTATGAGGTTGGTCCTTATGAATATTTCTAAGTGATTTTTCTTCCCTTGTTTTCGTTGGTTTCTTGCCCCTAAACAGTGTATTTATATTTGAAACAGTTATACCCATAATGCTTTCTTTTCACTTGTCAGCACATATTCATCTGCCACGTCTCAGATTATATAACATTAATGTATTCAAAGCACTGTAGATACTCAAAAAAATCTGTGTTGGGTGCTGCATTTTTTCGTAGTTTTGTGTCATCCGTAAATTTTGCCGTCTTAAATGCTAGCCCTATCTCAAGATTGTTTATGTACATTGTGAAGAGGACTGGACCAAGTACCGTTTCCTGAGGAACTCCTCTCTTTACATTTAGCCATTCATATACACTCCTGTTAGTAAGCCAGTCACTAATCCAGGTGAGAAGTTTTCGTCTATATCATGCACCTTCATTTTGGTCAGCAAACTTTGATGGGGTATCTTGGGAAATTCTTATTTTGGTCAGCAAATTTCGATGGGGTATCTTGGGAAATTCTTATTTTGAAGTCTAGATATACTTCCGTCGGGAATTTTTCTTCACAGTTTAATATATGTATAGTTAAATTCTATTAAGTTTATCAAGCACGATCTGCTGTTTAGAAACCCATGTTATTTCTGGTTAAATAGCTTTAATTAACCTGAAATTTAGTAATCTTGTTTTTCAATGCTGTATAAAGTCCGCTTAATTTACCTAAAGTTACTTTTAAGCCGATCACATGATAAATTCTAGTACAGTTCTTGTCATTCTTTTAAATAATAATAATAATAATAATAATAATAATAATAATAATAATAATAATAATAATAATTTGTACAAACATATTTGTACAACATATACAGACGTAGCTGACGTCAAAGACACACTGTATAGAAAACCCTTGGTTATGCAGAGCATATCGACCAAAATGGGTTAATTTCATCCCCAGGATCCGACCCACACCAGGTACCTATTTACTGCTAGGTGAACAGGGACAGCAGGTGTCTTAAGGACACACGATCAATGTTTCCACCCGTACCGGGGATCCAACTGCGAACCTCAGTGTGTGAGCTGAGTCCATTTCAGAGCTACGGGACTACTATCATCGGGTATCACTTGCTAGTTTTCGGTCTTCTGACACCTTACCTCCTTAGTGGGCAAGAGAACTGGTATCCGTATAGAGTAGAGGGTGTATGTGTGGGATATGACTGATTAGGTTAGTGATCTAATCAAGCCATTAGTGGAATTCAGCTCAAAAACCTGCCATCCCATTTTTAGGTAACTGAATTCTTACCTCTAGTTTACAGTGTAGCAAGCCGGTTGATGAGCTGGAGGATGTGGTAAGGTCTCTTCACAGGTTTTTGTGGCATTTATATATTTGCAAAAGGCGTATGACAGGGTGGATAGGGGTGGGGGGCAATTTGGCAGGTGTTGCAAATGTATGGAATAGGAGGTAAGTTATTGAAAGCAGTCAGAAGCTTTTACGAGGATAGTGAGGCTCAAGTTTGAGTATATACGAGAGAAGGTGATTATTTCCCAGTAAAAGTAGGCCTTAGACAAGGATGTGTGATTTCACCGTGGTTGTTCAATATATTTATAGATGGGGTTGTAAGAGAAGTAAATGCGAGGGTCTTGGCAAGAGTTTTGGGGTTTAAGGATGAAGAATCTAACGCAAAGTGGGAATTGTTACAGTTGCTCTTTGCTGATGACACTGTGCTTTTGGGAGATTCTGGAGAGAAGTTGCAGAGGTTGTTGGATGAGTTTGGTAAGTATGTAAAAGGAGAGTTTTAAAAGTGAATATAGGAAAGAGTAAGGTAATGAGGATAACAAAAAAATTAGGTAACGAAAGATTGGATATCAGGTTGCAGGGAGAGAGTATATATAGAGATTATATAGAGATATTTAAAAGCGAATATGTCACCAGATGGGTCTATGAAAGATGAGGTGAATCATAGAATTGATGAGGGGAAAAAAGGTGAGTGATGCACTGAGGAGTCTGTGGAGACAAAGAACTTTGTCCTTGGAAGCAAAGAAGGGAATGTATGAGAGTATAGTTATACGAACGCTCTTATATGGGTGTGAAGCATGGGTGATGAATGTTGCAACAAGGAGAAGGCAGTGGAGATGTCGTGTCTGAGGGCAATGTGTGATGTGAATATAATACAGAGAATTCGTAGTTCGAAAATTAGGAGGAGGTGCTGGATTACCAAAATTATTATCCAGATGGCTGAGGAAGGGTTGTTGAGATGATTCGGACATGTAGAGAGGGTGGGACAAAATAGAATGACTTCGAGAGTATATAATCTGTAGTGGAGGAATGGCGGGGTAGAGGTCGGTCTAGAAAAGGTTGGAGGGGGTAAAGAAGGTGTTTTGTGCGAGGGGCTTGGACTTCTAGCAAGCATGCCTGAGTGTGTTAGATAAACGCGAATGGAGACAAATGGCTTTTAGGGCTTGATGTGCTGTTGGAGTGTGAGCAAGGTAACATTTATATCAAGGGATTCAGGGAAACCGGCAGGCCGGACTTGAGTCCCGGAGACGGGAAGTAGCGTGTGTACACTCTAAAGGAGAGGTGTTAGTGTTGCAGTTTTATAACTGTGTAAGCAATCCTCTGGCAAGACAGTGATAGAGTGAATGATGGTGAAAAAAATTCTTTTTTGAGCCACCCTACCTTTGTGGGAAACAGCCGATGTGTTAATAAAAAAAATAATAGTTTGATCTAGTGCACATTACTAATATCTCAGCTCATCTTACCAAACTTTGTTCTGTAACTGGCATCATTATAAAATTATTTTGGGTATCAATGTTTGTGTCTATTTTGAGACAAATAAAATTCTGTCATGATTTGATCTGTCACAGTCTGTGGTCAGAACGAGATCCGGTATATTACTGTCACTCTTAGCCAGTTGTGTCGAGTCGTGCTGGCATGTCTGGCAGCTTCTTGGTCACGTCACAGGTTGTTCCAACTTGTGTTTAGATAAGCACTGTTGCCTCCTGTTATTTCCCAAGCATCGTTCTCATTGTGTTACTTGGCTTTGTAAGGGGGATGGGGAAGGGAGGGGGGAGTTAGCAGGGGTGAACAATGTTCAATAACATATATAACATACTTTCGTTCTCATTGCTTTGAATTTCGACATATACTGAATCATATGCTTCTAATTCATGCTTTTAAATTTGAATTTCTGGAGCACTGTGCCAACATTTTTCAAGCATCAAGCAATGCTAAAATATTCTCTATTCTGTCATTGCTATTTCTGGTGTCAGGCAGCTATTTACATTCAACTAAGATTTACTCAGAGCAATGATATCTGGATGCTCTGATGATGTCTATGTGAATAATTCATAACTTATATTTAGAATAGGCTAATAGCGGTGTTGTAAAAAAAATAATTCACCGAGCCGGTCTTTGCTAGCTAGAGTAATTAGCTTCAATTCTCGTTGTCGCTGGTTACCTGACTAGATGTATCAGGTTCTCTGCTCCCTCCTACCATATCAACTTACAGCCCTATACCTCCCCCTCTAATTCCATAATATTTTAAAGGGGTGGACCAGTAAGCCAACGGAAGGCCCCGGTCAGATGACCAAAAGCTCCATCTGAGAGGGTCTTCATATGACTAAGACCCGCGTAAGGAAACACTTGTCCTGTTTCCTGATAAACCTTACCTAACCTTCCCCTCGACGCTCGCCGTCTGCCAGATATAGCTTTTCCCTTTAGACTCAGTAGCTAAATGGTTATAACTATGACCATAATATTTAAAGGAGTGGACCGGTAAGCCAGCGGAAGGTCTTGGTCAGATGACCAAAAGCTCCAACGGCGGGTCATCATCTGACTAAGACCCACGTCAGGAAACACTTGTCCTGTTTCTTGACGAACTTAACCTAACCTCACTTAACCTAACTACTACTACACTAACCTAACTACTAACTTAATCTAACTACTACTAACCTAACCTAACTTATGCTAACCTAACAACCTAACCGTTAGACTCGTCCTAATCTCGTCCACTCAACATTGCTCAAGTGAAGTGTGTCTTGTTAAAACAAACTTACATCACTTTGAAGATGTCACATAGTTCTTTATAATCTAGACTCAAGAGTACCTTTTTTTTCATCTTTTATTTAAACCTATGACTTTTTTATGTATGGAAGTTTCTACAACAGTAATCTCTGACTTTTTATTAATTGGCTGGTACTGCTGAGAATCTCATCTCGTCTACTATAAATCAATAACTCCGATATAATTATTAGAATGTGCATTATTTGGTTAATTTTTAATGACCTCAGCAAAATTAATGCGTATATTCTTGATCCTTGTACGTGTTGCAACGGCAACTTCTGTATGTGTTGCAACGGCAACTTCTGTATGTGTTGCAACGGCAACTTCTGTATGTGTTGCAACGGCAACTTCTGTATGTGTTGCAACGGCAATTTCTGTATGTGTTGCAACGGCAACTTCTGTACGTGTTGCAACGGCAACTTCTGTACGTGTTGCAACGGCAACTTCTGTACGTGTTGCAACGGCAACTTCTGTATGTGTTGCAACGGCAACTTCTGTATGTGTTGCAACGGCAACTTCTGTATGTGTTGCAACGGCAACTTCTGTATGTGTTGCAACGGCAACTTCTGTATGTGTTGCAACGGCAACTTCTGTATGTGTTGCAACGGCAACTTCTGTACGTGTTGCAACGGCAACTTCTGTACGTGTTGCAACGGCAACTTCTGTACGTGTTGCAACGGCAACTTCTGTACGTGTTGCAACGGCAACTTCTGTATGTGTTGCAACGGCAACTTCTGTATGTGTTGCAACGGCAACTTCTGTATGTGTTGCAACGGCAACTTCTGTATGTGTTGCAACGGGAACTTCTGTATGTGTTGCAACGGAAACTTCTGTATGTGTTGCAACGGCAACTTCTGTATGTGTTGCAACGGGATCTGTATGTGTTGCAACGGCAACTTCTGTATGTGTTGCAACGGCAACTTCTGTATGTGTTGCAACGGGAACTTCTGTATGTGTTGCAACGGCAACTTCTGTATGTGTTTCAACGGCAACTTCTGTATGTGTTGCAACGGCAACTTCTGTATGTGTTGCAACGGCAACTTCTGTATGTGTTGCAACGGCAACTTCTGTATGTGTTGCAAAGGCAACTTCTGCATGTGTTGCAACGGGAACTTCTGTACGTGTTGCAACGGCAACTTCTTTACGTGTTGCAACGGCAACTTCTGTATGTGTTGCAACGGTAACTTCTGTATGTGTTGCAACGGCAACTTCTGTACGTGTTGCAACGGCAACTTCTGTACGTGTTGCAACGGCAACTTCTGTACGTGTTGCAACGGCAACTTCTGTACGTGTTGCAACGGGAACTTCTGTATGTGTTGCAACGGGAACTTCTGTACGTGTTGCAACGGGAACTTCTGTATGTGTTGCAACGGGAACTTCTGTACGTGTTGCAACGGCAACTTCTGTACGTGTTGCAACGGCAACTTCTGTATGTGTTGCAACGGCAACTTCTGTACGTGTTGCAACGGCAACTTCTGTATGTGTTGCAACGGTAACTTTGGCACGTGTTTCTAAGGCAAATTCTGTACGTGGTCCAACCTTCTTTACATGGTTCTACGGCAGCTTCTGTACGTGAATATACTGCAGAATTACATATTAAGCAGTCTTAATACCGAATCCCCGACTACTGGTACATACACGCGGTTCTCACCGGCTGGGCAAGCTTAGGACTCTCCTTAGGACCTGGCTGGGCAAGCGAAGGATTCTCCTTAGGACCTGGCTGGGCAAGCTAAGGACTCTCCTTAGGACCTGGCTGGGCAAGCTAAGGACTCTCCTTAGGACCTGGCTGGGCAAGCGAAGGATTCTCCTTAGGACCTGGCTGGGCAAGCTAAGGACTCTCCTTAGGACCTGGCTGGGTCAGAGTAATGTTATTAATTGCTACGTTCAGGCTGTTTAGAATTGTTCCTTTCAATCACTAGTGTAAATCTAAAGGAAAATTCCCTGGGGCTGATCTGAAGGAGGTCACTTTGTAGCTGGCCGGATATTACGAACACAGGTGTAGAAATGGCCTGCACGCCTTGCCGTAATGCGATTACCACTTGGGAACAAGCAAAAGACAACAGCAAATAACTTAATTATATATTCTTCACCAAAACAAGCTGGAACTTACAGTGTTATATAGCCTATATACAGTATTTACACTATGTACAATGAGGCAAAAGCAAGCATAAGACACGGTAAACCGTGGCGACCAGCAGTGAAGACAAGTCTGCCAAAGCTGTTTCCACGAGTGGACCACATCGCTTCAAAGTTGTTTCCACGAGTGGACCACATCGCTTCACAGCTTTGGCGGGCTTTCTTGTGAATGGTTGGTTGAACCCAGGTGCTGGTATAACGACGGGTCCCCTGATCTTTAAACCCCTAGTACCTGGTTCACTGGTCGGGAAGCAGCATATATGGGTGTGTGACATGCGCCGAATAAAATGTAACACACACTTATCATGTCACACTGGAGGTGACCTATAAGTGATGTAGGGAAGCCCTAGATGTGACCTAGGGTAAGACGTAGGGGTAAACTGGGGGTGGACCTACCGTAGACATGGAGGGGGGCAGCGTGGAGGACAGAGGCAGCAGTGTTGGAGGCAGTGCAGGAGTAACTCCCTCCATCCTCCACTCTCACTCCGGAGATGTTGACGTGACTGATCACCTGACCATGGACGCTGACGTATTGCCCCACCACCAGCCTGTGAGGGAGAAAGGGAGGAGATTATTGACTCACCACCACATCCACAACCACCACCACCACCAACAGCCTGTGGGGAAGAGAGGGAGGAGATTACTGGAGATTACTGATCAGAAGGGAGCCTGATTACTGGCTCTCTTCTGATCAGAAATGTCACAGTATTTGTCTTTATTTGGTTATCCCAGGTTAAATCGACTTAACATTCTTATATGTGGCTATAACATAGTATGTGTGACCTAAAACTTTTGCTAAAAATTTGTATGTTATATACTCGTAGACTAACCTTACGTAAAACTTATTTAAAGTTGGTGGCGACTGGCGATTTGTAACCAGAGGTTTGGTAAGGTGGTGGGAGGGAGAAGAATAGGTAAGGATAGAATATTGGAAAAGGGTGGGTGGGGGGGGTGGGGGGTAGTGAGAGTGGGTAATAAAGGTAAGTGGCCTAACCACTTCGGTGTGTTTGAATAAGGGTATGTGTGTGTGTGTAGCATTATTCATGAGATACATGAGGTGGGGTATACCACACTACCTGTCAACGGTACACATGTATACAACCTACACACGTGCATGGTGCTAAATTAGTAGCAAGTATAGGATTTGCTATTGCATGTCTTTCTTTTTTTTCACGCAGGAGGTTGGTTACAGGGCGCTTGCTGGAGATGGTGTTTGTAAGGTGCTGGATGGAGGTTGTAGGGTGCTGGATGGAAGTTGTAGGGTGCTGGATGGAGGTTGTAGGGTGCTGGATGGAGGTTGTAGGGTGCTGGATGGAGGTTGTAGGGTGCTGGATGGAGGTTGTAGGGTGCTGGATGGAAGTTGTAGGGCGCTGGATGGAAGTTGTAGGGCGCTGGATGGAAGTTGTAGGGCGCTGGATGGAGGTTGTAGGGAGCTGGATGGAGGTTGTAGGGCGCTGGATGGAGGTTGTAGGGCGCTGGATGGAGGTTGTAGGGTGCTGGATGGAAGTTGTAGAGCGCTGGATGGAGGTTGTAGGGCGCTGGATGGAGGTTGTAGGGTGCTGGATGGAAGTTGTAGAGCGCTGGATGGAGGTTGTAGGGCGCTGGATGGAAGTTGTAGGGCGCTGGATGGAGGTTGCAGGGCACTGGATGGAGGTTGCAGGGCACTGGATGGAGGTTGTAGAGCGCTGGATAGAGGTTGTAGGGCGCTGGATAGAGGTTGTAGGGCGCTGGATGGAGGTTGTAAGCTGCTGGATGGAGGTTGTAGGGTACTGGATGGAGGTTGTAGAGTGCTGGATGGAGGTTGTAGGGCGCTGAATGGAGGTTGTAGGACGCTGGATGGAGGTTGTAGGACGCTGGATGGAGGTTGTAGGGCACTGGATGGAGGTTGTAGGGCACTGGATGGAAGTTGTAGGGCACTGGATGGAAGTTGTAGGATGCTGGATGGAAGTTGTAGGGCGTTGCATGGAGGTTGTAGGGCACTGGATGGAGGTTGTTGGGCGCTGGATGGAGGTTGTAGGGCACTGGATGGAGGTTGTAAGGCGCTGGATGGAAGTTGTAGGGCACTGGATGGAGGTTGTAGGGCACTGGATGGAGTTGTAGGGCACTGGATGAGGTTGTAGGGTGCTGGATGGAGTTGTAAGGCGCTGGATGGAAGTTGTAGGGCACTGGATGGAGGTTGTAGGGCACTGGATGGAGGTTGTAGGGCACTGGATGGAGGTTGTAGGGCACTGGATGGAGGTTGTAGGGTGCTGGATGGAGGTTGTAGGGCGCTGGATGGAGGCTGTAGGGTCCTGGATGGAGGTTCCAGGGCGCTGGATGGAGGTTGTAGGGCACTGGATGGAGGTTGTAGGGCACTGGATGGAGGTTGTAGGGCGCTGGATGGAGGTTGTAGGGCACTGGATGGAGGTTGTAGGGCGCTGGATGGAGGTTGGCTGCTTTTTTGGAGTTGTTGGTCTGCCGAGCTGTTTCTGAGGTGGTGTCCTGCCGTTGGAGGTTTGCGGATGTTACATGGTTAGATATAAATGTTAATTAGTTAGAAGTAAAATGTTCATAGATTGGGGTGGCTTTATCCTTATTGGACATAGAATGGCTCTGATAGTACCCATCTTCTATATCTTCAAGGAGATCACTTAAGATTTTTTGTCTCAGGAAGTTCTCAATGGGCATGAAACACTGGACTCTTTATTGGAGGAACATCTTATGGGTTCTGTGGGGAGGTGTGTTGATAATGTAGTCGGTGGTGGTGGTTGTGGAGGGTTTTCTCTTTCTGGTATATAGAGTTCTTGCATGTCTTGTAATTGTCTCTTCTTTAATTTATCTAGCCTGACATTAATTACATCGATCTCCTGTTGGATGTGATCTTCCATTCTGATTCTGTCTCTCCGCCTGGAGATTGTGATAAAGCGGAGTACTCTGTTCTGGACTCTTTGTAGCTGTAACATGTTGGAGTTCGTTGTTAGTGACATGAGCACACAAGGATATTCAAGCATAGATCTTATCATGTCCTTGAACAGATGCTTCTTAATGTGGGAGAGGGCAGACTTTTGCTAAGTTTACCTTTTTTGGAGATGTGAGATGAGAGTGGAATAATCGGTCGATCTCATATCCCTTGCTCGGGTTTCTGATGTACCTCTGATGCAGATATCCCCTTTGTTGTCAATAGTTGTGGCAAAACATCCAATGGTGCTGATGAGGACTTTGTCTGGATTGGTCGTGATTCTCCATTTCTTCTCGAAGTTGACTGTACTCCAGCCAACTGAAAGGCTCTGCTGACTTGCCTTCGAGGGTGGGGGATGATGCTTCTTCCTGATAAGAAGTTACGTATAAGCCTAAGGAAGGTCCAGTTGTGGTCCAGAAGGTCGGCAATTTTGAATATGAACCTGCCGTGCCACAGGCTGTCAAAAGCTTTGTGTACATCCCTTGTGGCAATTAGGGCAATGCTGTCATGTTTCCTAAGGCTGTCCATGGCATCGAAGATTATATGGATAGCTTCTGGGTTCTTCTGTGGGTCCTGAAGCTGAACTGCTTTTCGGTGAAAAGGTGATTGAAATCCATGTAGTAGTTCACTCTATTGGAGATGATTTATTCAAGGATTTTGCCAGTGACTTCCAGTAAGGAGATAGGTTTGTGCTTGTCTTTGTTGGGTTTTTGCAATGAATATCATCCTTGCTAATTTAAGTGTCCTGGGGAAGTGTCCAGAGGCTAAGATGTCATTAAAGATATTTACCAGAAACATCTTGCAGTTTCGGGTTGTGTTGTAGAGACAATCTGTATATCTCTGGTCTGAGTTAAACTTTAGATCTACACTTGTTCTGGCATCTATGCAATGCCGTAGTCGGGGAATTAATAGTGCTGAACCGAGTTTCAGTAATAACGTAGGTTTGTCTTTTGTGTACAATCTGTTAAAGATTCACAGTTAGGGTAATTTGTCTCCTTTATTCCTTGCCTGACGCTATGCTGTTCACTGCTGTTTCATACTTTATTAATCTTTAACGAATGGTTCGTCATACTGTTCAAGCAAGCTGCTTGATTGTCTTGATGGTTGAGAAGTTAGATTATTTAGGGACTTGTCAGTCACAGTACGAGTCTAAGTCGATTCCAGTCTTACTGAGTCATACCAAGTATTATGGAGCACATAAACATTCGTACTTATATTTCTCATATATTAATAAGTATATCTCATCTTAGCAACGTACTTAACGGCACTTAAGAGTAGTACAGTTATTAAATGTACCCTTAGCATTATACGATTATATGTACAAGATAATTATACCAGGTTATACTCCAAGAGTTGTGTACAAGCTTATCTCCTTTATTATACCAAAATATATTAACTTTATAACCACCTAGACAACTTTGCTATTAAAGATCTCAAATCTTATGTGGTTAGTTGATATTCATCCAGTTGTTATCCCAAAGCACTATTAAAAAGGCTCTTAATTTTAAAGGATAACAGGACTGGAATGTTCTCTGACAAACTATTACAAAACCAGAAACAGGATAGATACTAGAAGGGTGATCAATTAGTTGACCTTTTAGTATTCTCTGGAGATGTCTACACTTTATGGATGTCGCATTTTGTAACAATATATATTGTTACAATATATACTTTTACTAACTTTCTTGCAGCTGTCCTGATTGGAGGAACTGGGGAAGACGATGGTTTTGCTCCGTCTCTCTGCTCTAATGGAGCTAGCTTGTATTGTTCTATTGATTTTGTTATAATAATGTTTGGTAGTTTCACTACTTATGCTGAGATGATGTTTTCTAGCTTATGTTGATCTGCTCTGACTACAAGCAGGCTTTTTGTGAAGGCTTCGTTGAAGGCCTTCTGTGAAGACCTCTTTGAAGGCCTTCTGTGAGGGCTTCGTTGAAATCATTCTGTAAAAACCTCTTTGAAGGCCTTCTGTGAGGGCTTCGTTGAAGGCCTTCTGTAGAGACCTCTTTGAAGGCCTTCTGTGAAGGCTTCTTTTGTAAAGGCTTTTCCAAAGTCCTTCTGTGAAGGCTTCTGTAAAGGCCTCTTTGAAGGTCTTCTGTGAAGAGCTCTCTGAATATTTTGCTAAACTCTTCACATAAGTCTCTGTCACTCGCCGTAAGCGTTCCATCCTCCTCCTCCAGTCTTATCACTTGGACATTCAAAGTCCTTCGCTTTTTCCTCTATCTCCATTTTCGGAAGGCATCCAAACCTTAGTACTACACAATTGATTAATAAGGCATATGAACAATATTTTGGGTATCTTTATTCCAGAAACGTTTCGCCAGCCACTGGCTTACGAAACGTTTCCAGAAGAGTGATACCCAAATGTTACACAAGTGTCTCAATATCAACTTGTTGGTTTTCTAAGCCATCTATTTAAATACTGTATAACTGTTGGCATTTAGTTGTTAAATAACAAAGAAGGCACAATACAGTGGCTGGAACAATACACAAATAACCCGCACGTATAAGAGAGGAGCCTAGACGACGTTCCGGTCCGACTTGGTCCATTTTCAAAATCGCACTGTGACTTTGTAAATGGTCCAAGTCGGACCGAAACGTCGTCGTAAG